TAATTTTACATGTAGAACCCTACTTTGTTGTTTGTGAGATCCCAAAGCCTAGTAGACTCTGACATTTATGAGAAGCCTATTTCAAGTTCCCTGTTATATCCACTGTATTTTATAGCAGAAACTGTAGGCTAAAGTAAGTTTTAAGTGATACTTTCAAATGTTAAAAGAAAAAATATTGATAACGACTATTAACTAACATTCTGCAAACCTGGGTCATTAGCTAGGTTAACTTAATTATGACAATTTTAATTTTAATCCAGGATACCAGATGCCCCAAGAACAGGATTCTATCTATTTGTCCTCTTTAAAATTACAAGTTGCCACACTAGACTTTTGAGATCACTTGCTAAGAGTCAAAATATAAATTCCAAAGGTTCTATAGCATAGCACCCACCATTTCTTGAAGTTTTTCTATGTACAGGCTTAAAATGATAGAAACACTTGACCCACATTCAAAATGAAAATGCTTTATCCATTCTCAACTCCAAAAATAACCTCTGAAATTGATGTTACTCTCTAACAAATGAGAAATAGAAAGGTTAAATAACTTGCTCAGTGTCATCCAGCTGGTATATAGTAGTGCAGAGTTTCAAACTCAGGACTCTGGGATCACAAAGCCTATACATATGTCCTCAACCACCCACCTTCTTGCATCTCCTATGCCCAAGAATGGTCCAACAAATCCTCCAACTTTAGGAGGGTTTTATTACTATTTTTAAGACCAAGAAATGAAAATAACATTTACCTCTCCGTGGCTGCAAAGTCAGTTTGAAGAGGAAACACAGAACCCAGATCTTAAGCCCTTGGTCAGCAATTTGTCCACTAGCTCATTTTGTTCTTCTGCCCCAGGTCCTCGACCATTCTAAAATAAAGCACAAATCACTTTATGAACATTAAATACACATAAATGCACATATAGCATGAAAGACAAACAGAGCAAAATGAAGACTAACAAAATTGGGAAAAAAATTAAAATGTCATCTTACTAATTAGGCCATTCCATTAAATATCTATCAAGCCAGTAATAAAACATTCAGTTATTTTTTTAGACATTTGCTAAATATATAAAGGACCAAAGATTTATGATTATCAGAATAGCACTCAACTCAAACATTGCAACCAAATAATGGTATATGTACAAGGTCTGTCAGGGGAAAGTCCAACCATTGTTAATATAACAAGAACGGTTTGTGCAGCTTCAATGTAACTTGGCAGCCAAGGAGAGTGGACTGGATTGTGCATGCAAACAATGAGGACTTCACTGTACCAGTCAGTGGGGGCGGTAGTCACCGCTGAGTGAGCACATGTCCTGTGTGGCTGTCTCATTCAAAATGACAGAGCGAGCAACAAATCTGCATCAAGTTTTGCATTAACTCGAAACTATTCAGATGATTCAGAAGGCTGAAGCCATGGACAACTTGTGATTGGCAGCTTCATTACCACCACACACCCAAGCATGCATCATGTCTCACGTATTGCATCTGGTGCAGTTTTTCAGTGACATATCATATCACCCACGTGACTCAGCCCCCCTACAGTGCACATTTCACACCCTGAGACTTCTGGCTTTTCTCAAAACTAAAAACACCCTTGAAAGCGAAAAACTTTCAGACTGTGGATAAGATTCAGGAAAATACGACAGGGCAGCTGATGGTGATTGGGAGAACTATGTGAGGTCCCAAGGTGCCTACTTTAAAGGGGACTGAGTTGTCCTATGTACAATACAATGTTTCTTGTGTCTTCAATAAATGCTTCTATTTTTCAGTGTGTGGCTGGATACTTTCTGGACAAACCCCATGTATTTATCCAATACCAAAAAATTAATTCTATAGATGTAGTAATAGTCCTTAACATTTTATTTCCTTATCTTTACAAATGCCAGTTTTACTGATTAAGTTAGTTGTACCATGAGTAAAGACTATTTTTCAGTTTAATAAGATAACTATGGGGGGATTCACTGACCATTAAAAATTCCAGAAGCACAGCACTGAAATATTTTTTAAGTCAAATAATGAAATACCCTTTTTTAAAGGAAAAATAAACAAACATTTTTTCTCTCTAAATTACACATAAATGAACTGTCAAGCTTCAGGCAATGGTAGAGTGGAACTTACCTGGGGGGGGGGGGGAGTAACTCCCAAGTGAAATTAAAGAGCTAAATTTAAATGAAGAGTTTCCAAAGAATTTGACCTAAGAGGTCCAATTAAGAGGGACTCCAATTCATAATTAACTAAAGCCCACAAAACTAAGCTGATAGAATACTTTCTTAGATGAAGCTGAAGAAGTCTTCTCTGTTAAGAGGGAATTTAAAACACAGGACTAGTGTATTTATTGGGTTGGCCAAAAAGTCCATTTAGATTTTTCTATAAAATAAAAGGCACATTTTTTCATTTTCACAAATAACTTTATTGATTTGGATATTCTGAGTATGTCAGTTATCTCTCACTATTGGCTTCTAGTGGCTAGAGGCCAGGAGTGCTGCCAAACATCTTCCAATGCATAAGACAGCCCCAAAGTAAAAATTATTTGGGCAAAATGTCAATAGTACCAAGAAACTTCACAAACACTTCTGACACATTTGATCAGCTGCAACAGCTTCTCCATATACTGCACAAATCTTATGGTGGTGTAACAGTTCACCAATGTTAGGGTTTGTTTTTTGTTTTTTTTTTTTAATGTGTGCTGACAGGACAGCTGTCACAAGACAATCTAACAAAACTCAAATGAAGTTAAAGACAACTAAGCACTAGCAGAGCCATTGTATGGAAAAAACTAAATGAACTTTTTGGCCAACCCAATGGTTCAAGAAACACTTTTGTACTAGAGTCACTAGCATGCCTCAAAGGGAATGAGAATTTATGCCCTTGAAAATTCTAAGGATAACTAAAAATGAGGATCAAGTGTGGAAAAATTACTGTTCTTGAGGTATATGTCAGTAGCCTATATGCAATGCCAATCTTTGCACCCAAATACTAACCATTGAGAAAATGCACAAAGATACTGCCGGGAAAGATCTGAAGATAATGACTAGAGAAAGTTTAGGAATGTTTAAAAAAAATACGGTATGCCAAATCTATCTATCTATCTATCTAATTATGGACCATGGTCTTCATAGTTATACATTATTTGCCACTATTATTCTTTCTAAACCTGTATGCTCTTTTTCAAATACTAAGTTATGACAATTCTGGGACCTAATTTTTGGCAAAGGAGCCTGAAGTCATCTGAATCAAAATAGGTAGATACGGTAGATAGATGGTCAACTAAGTTTCTGGTTTAAAAAAATGAAATGGAGCCTGTAAAGTAGATGATGTGGAGTGAATTTAACGCCAGCAGTACCCCTGAAACAAAAAGAAAAAAGTCTCTAGAGGTGAATTTCTGTCAGCAAGCATCATGGTGCAAGGCTCTGCCTCAAGACTCCTCCTCAGGTCATTTGTCAGCCACAGGTGGCCTCCACCGCTCTGAAGAAACTCCCTAAGTCACCCAGAAGTCTTAGGTGGGTGCCCTCATTTGTGTGTGTTCTTTAAAGCAAAATCCTAAATACCTTAGAATTTAAATGCATCTTAAGGATAACTTTTACAGCTCCTAAATTTTATGTTGGCTCAACAAATTCTTAAAATAACTTTTACAACCACTCTTAAATAAGCAGTATTTGCCTATGTGGAAAAACAGTTATATTGTAATCCTCCTCATAATGCTGATTTAAGTAATAAGTTCCTTTGGTTAGCCTTATAACATCACTTTATTCTATCTGTACATTTACTTTTCCAATAAAAACAAAGTATGAATCTTGACATACGGGAAATCTCAAAGGACTGCAACCCTGTAAGTAAGGTCTGTACCATTAAAACAGCATGAATGATGTATAAGACTGTAAAGTTAGTGGCTGCATACGGCACAAATGAATCAAGAAGCAAAATGTGGTCCATGGAGCACAATGCTAACCTGAAAAAACAAGCTTTACTCCTGGCTCAATTACAGACTTTCGGGATTTTAATTTTTAACCTGTGTGGATCTTATTTAGTAAGTAAAATATCCACAATTTCAAAAGGAAAATAATGCTGAAAATCACAAGAATGGGGGAAAAAAAATCCACACAACCGGACTACTATATTAGACAATTAAGTGTGTTTCTATTCCCAAACCTGACACTCCATCAACACTACTGCATTTAGTTACTTAGTGCAGTTTTACCGGGGAGGCGGCAAGAAGTAACATTCTGTAGGGTTCAGAAAGGGATGGTGAAAGACTCTCTCTCCTATGGAGGCAGATTGCTGCAAAAACCTACAGATTGAGATTACACATAGTGGACCAACAATTTTGCTTAGCACCAGACTGTTTTAATTTCCTCATAAAGTTAATGTAACTCTTTTCAAAGAAAAAGAAGTTATTCAGGACTTTCTTCTCTCTAAAGCAACCAGGTTTGTTAAACGTCAAATGCACCACCATACTATATTAAGGTATTTGAGGAAAGAGCAAAAAGATTAAGTATGCGAATGTTTACTTAATTCTGAACCCAGGGCTGCAGGAAGTGTGCTACTAAATGGTAGTTACATTAGGCGTAGATATTTATAAACCAACTGCTGCTAGTGACCCAAGATTCAATTACAACATCAACCCTCAGATTTCAGCGTATGGGCAAATTACCAATGGAGTCAAGAATAAATTCATTCTGCCCTACTGGAGCTTTAGATCGGGTTGCCGAATCCCGGAGAACTACCTTAGCCTAGCCCTAGAGCATCAGGTACTAAGTAATGCACTAAGTTAGGGTTAGGACATATTAAAGCACGAGGGAAACTCAAGGGTCGCCTGCCTAACTTGGCCAGCCCATAACCCCGAATTCAGGAATTTGTCACGTCACTTGCGATCAGTGTGAAACTAAGTTTTGATCCCTTTGAGATCTCTTAGCGCACAGTCAAGCTATCCCTCACTGTAAGAGGAGTCTGACCCTGGCTCCAATAAAACTACTTGGTCTGTAACTAGTGTCTTTTCCGCTCACCGTGGAGGGCCGCACCGGTAGGGTCCGACAAAGAGCCCGGACACTAGTTTAGGGGCGCAGCGGGGCCCGGCGGGGGCGGCGAGCGCGCGTCCCCCCGCCCGCTCAGGCGGCGTCGAGGCGCGAGCAGCTCAGCCAGCCTTGCAGAGGGAGCTCTCGGCAGCTCTGGGGTCCCTCTGCTCGCAGCAGCGCCGCCTGCGCCACTCGGTGGAGACGGAGACCAGCGGCGACGACGTGCGCACTGGGAGCGACCGCCGAGCAACCTCACAGGGCGACCGGGTAGGTGCTGGGGACCCGGCCGGCTGGAGGATGGGCAGCCCGAGAGGCGTTGGCCAGGGCCCGACACCCATACTGCACGGAGACCCGGCTACGCGCGCAGCGGCAGTGAGTGGGGACCCTTGAGGACAGCGGGCGCGGAAGCCGAGGTGCGGAGATCGCCTCTCCGCTGAGGCCACCCGCCTCGGGTGGGGCGGAGGGCAGAGGGCGGGCCACGGCCGGGCAATCGGTCGGGCCAAGAACCGGTGTCGAGGGCAGAGACAAAGGAAGGAAAATGGAGTCGCTAGCGCGCGGGCCTCTGTCGCCGCCGGAGGCCCAGCGCGTAGCCAGGAGGAAGGCCTAGCGCGCGGGTGTGTGTTAGGGGGGGCCGGCCGGGCCGTGGCGGCGACGGGCAATGGCGGCGGCCGCGCCGCAGCAGGGACGGTAGAGGGAGACAAACACCCCCCGGCGGCGGCGCTGGCGCCGGGCTGCAGCCAGCGCCGACCGGAGCGGCCCCATCGTGACACCTAGAGGCGGCCCGCGAAACCTCCTCCACCCGGGGCCCCCTTACCTCCGCGCCACACCCCCCGCAGCGCTCGCTTCGCCGCCGCTCCACCGCTCCGGCCACCTGGCGTCCCCGGCCAGCTCCGCGCACCCGCACCGGCCACCGCGCCGCCGCTGCCGCCAAAGAAGCAGCTCCGCGCACGGTTTAATCGCTCCACAGGCTCGGACACAAAATGGCGGCGGTGCGGTGCAGTGCGCCTGCGTCGGCGCTGCCGGGGCCGCGGGTGCTGATAAGGGAAGGGACGGATGGGGGGGGCCGGCCGGGCGACGAGTGGAGGGCGGGGGAGGAAAGGTGAGGGGAGGGGTTGGCGCAGGGCAGCATGGGAGGCGGCCCCGGGCGCCAACTTTCAAAAGCGGGCGCGATGGCGTAACGGAACGCGCCGCGAGTCACGTCACGCCGCACGCGCCCTCCCGCGCTCTCGCCCGGTCGCGCGTGGGCTCAGCGGGCGCCGCGACGTCCGGTCTCCAGCTGGGTGGGGCTTCTTGGGCGGAGGTTGTCGCCTGTAGGCGGCCCGGGATTCCGGTACCTCTTAACCCGGTTCCTTAGCTGCGGTCTCCGGCCCTGAACCCGTAAAGAGGGTGGAGGGTGTTTGAAGGAAGCCTGTGTGGGGCTAGGTGGTGGGGCAGAGGCGGTTCTTGGGGCAGTCCCCGCCCCAGTCTCCACCCTGGCCTCGCCCGCCCGGCTCTTTGAGCGCCGCACCGCATCCCGCCAAAGTGTAAGGCCCGTCCGGTCCTCGCGAATTCTCATCTCAAACAATTCACCGTCGGCGAGTGACAACGAGAAGAGCTGTTTTTGACCAGCAGTTTTGGGGGGTCCCTTTGCCCTGGAAGAGGGCTTCTTCCTGTCCCCAAGCCACCTCAGCCCGGAGAGGCCGGCGAAAGACCAGACTTGATACTTTGGCACGGTCATAGCACTCGTCTTCTCCCGAAGGGACTTTCGTATTTGGCGCGGTGTAATTCTGTATTTCAGAATGTGCGTTTCTTGTTTTTGTCCTGAGGGCTGATAAATGTTCTGTGGGCGGAGTCCTGCAGCCGCTCAGATGGCGGTCGCCCCTCCCGCGCACCAGGTGCACCTGCGGACTTGACCCAACCCGCGAGGAAGCTGATTGAAGACGGTACTCTGGTGGCTCCGCGAGGAGAGACTTTGGTACTTTGGGGGATCTGATTCAGGATTGTGGTCTCAGCTCCCTTAGATGTGGATAACAAACGAGCCTAGCGTGAAGGGGACAGCTTCTGCTCCATTTTTTCTATTGTGAGAATACTGCCCCAATATTGGCAGGTCTTTTTTTTTTTTTAAAGGTAATCAGAAAAATCGATTTTTAAATGTAAAATCTCCAGATACTTAGACGTTGGCAAGTAGATGTTTTTAAACTGTATGTGCTGATTAAACTATACAGATGGTTTAATCTGACTTAAGGGAAAGAGCGAAGAGAAGTTCCGGTGTCAGATACTAGGCACTCCGGCATTTAGAGAGAGGGTAAATGGAGATGGAGAGGGAGCAGCCACGAAGGCAGAAGGAAATCCACAGTGTTGAGTTGTGAAATTTAAGGGCAGAGAAGGTTTCAGGTAGGAGGGGTATGGTCAGTTGTGTCTAGTGCTGCTGAGAGGTATACTTGGGCTACAGATATGGTTTGGATTGGTCACCTTGGAGATCACTAAGAGTATCACTGGAGGCCTTGGCTTGATTCATGTAGGTAAATCTGAAATCTGGACATGACTACAGTGCGTTGAAGAGTGAACGGGGAAGGTGAGAAAATAGAGACTGCACATGTAGACAACGTGAGAGGTTTTCTGTGAAGGGAGCAAAGAAATGTAGGCATGACTGGAAGAATATGGGGTCAAGAGATGTTTTAAAAAATGGTAGGGTTGTAGAGCATGTTTTTATGCCATCGGGAGGAATACAGTAGAGAGAAAGCTTACTTGACCTACATAGGAGTAGAATCCATGGAAGGATATACGGAAACTGGGAGGATTGACCTTGTATAGGAACAGGATGCTTCCACTGTGATAATCAGGGTAACTAAGGTGAAGATGATGCAAATTCAGGGGAAAGGAAAAAGCAAATTTCCAGCTTTCCTAGTAGGACTGCCTTGACAGCATTGGGTACCCATTCGAAGTTTATGATCATGAGTGTAAAGTTAAACCAGTTGTCCCAGTGTGTGGTTTTTCTCCAGCAACATTCAACTGCTTGGGTACAAACATTAAGAGGGATAATTTGGGATAACCAGGACCCAAATTATCTGATTCTTCATCTTAGGCACTTGCCTTATTGATTAGTTACTATTGTAGAAATATGTGAAATATTGTGAAAATTTACACGTGACCCCTTTTCTAGGAACCAAATAATCCTAATTGTCTCATATACACACCCTAAGACTCAAACATAGAGAAAAGGGAAACTTAGAGAAAAATTACCTCTGGAATATTTGCATTTTACATATTCTTCAGCCCTCTACCCCAAACAGCTCCTGGTAGCATTTAAGAACTATGTACTAGAAGCAACAAAGCTCACTTGCACTTAAATCATTAGTTTCTTTTTCTTGCTAGTATCTTTTTTAAAAAAAGATTTTATTTATGAGCCCTGGCTGGTGTAGCTCCGTGGATTGAGTGCAGGCTGCAAACCAAAGCATCGCAGGTTTGATTCCCAGTCAGGACACATGCCTGGGTTGCAGGCCATGGCCCCCAGCAACTGCACATTAATGTTTCTCTCTCTTTCTCCCTCCCTTCCCTCTCTAAAAATAAATAAATAAATAATCTTTTTAAAAAGATTTTATGTATTTAGAAAGAGGAGAAGGGAAGGAGAAAGAGAGGGAGAGAAACATCAGTGTGTGGCTGCCTCTCCCACACCTCCAGTGGGGACCTGGCACAGCCTGGCACAGCCTGGCACAGGCTAGCATTCAACCACTGAGCCACACCAGCCACTAGTATCTTTAATAATCTGATTAGTTCACTTTTCTAAGGTTTTACTTCAAACCATCTTCCTTATCTTTAAGAGTTAAGTACATCTTCTAAGACTTTAATGTAGACAAATACAAGGCAGTGTATTTTGATGGCAAAAAAAAACCCTCAATTATATTTACATCTAAATTTATAACTGCTTTGGTCAGAATATTTGTATTCCCTCCCATGTTCATATGTGGAAATTCTATTGCCAGATATGATAGTGTTAGTAGGTAGAGCCTTTGGGAGGTTCTTAAGTCATGAGGATGGAACCCTCATAAATGTAATTAGTGCCTTTTAAAAGAGGCTTCAAAGACATCCCTAGCCCCTTCCACCATGTGGAGTCACAAATAAGAAGGTAGCAGCTATGAACCAGGAGGAGGGCCTTCACCAGAGTATGACCATGTTGGTGCTTTGACCTCAGTCTTCCCAGCCTCCAGAACTATAAGCAATAAATTTCTGTTGTTTATAAAGCACTCAGTCAGTGGTATTTTGTTATAGCAACTAAGATAACTATATTTATATTATATCAACTATAATTACAACTATATGACCTCTGAGTCATCACTTGGAAGCCAGGAATGGTGTCTAAGTGGCCTTGGAGCCTGCTGTCTGAAGACAAAGATCCCGTGTGCTGTTCTGTCACAGGGCTGAGAAGATGCTGAGGATCACTAGGAAGGAACAAAAGGAAATATTTTCTTTCCCCTGTAGGAAGTTGTGGTGTGTCCTACTTTGTGGAATCAACCAAGGAACAGAAAGCCAAGCCAAAAAGAAGTTTTCAGGCTGGACAGAAACAAGCAGAGAGGGAAAAGTAATATGATGAGAGTCTGTGAAATAGTTAGGATGGTAAAATTAAGGACAGGTTTGTTTGCTGCAGTACCACACCAAACTGCCTCACCAGTGAGAACTTTGGTGATTTAAAACCACTCATTGATCTAAGGAAGTGTTCTTTCTGTGAACCATCTCTTAGGTTTGTAGTCCATAAGAGTTAGGGCATTATTGGCAGAAGGCTGTCAGCTTACCACACAGCATCAGTGAAGTCACCATGTTCCAGGATCTGGCCTTCAGCCTCACAGATAGGACCAGAAATGTAGCCTGTAGCCTCAGAGTGGATTCCTCCCTTAGGGACTTGGTAGGTTCGTACGAACTTGATGGATGAGCCGAGTGCTGTTTTACTAAGTGGCAGGTGAACCAATGCTCTTGTGCTGGCAGAGTCTCTCTATGGGAGAGCCTCTTGGGAAGTCAAATTACTAGAAAGCTTTGGTGAATGGTTAATTAGATTCAGAAATGTTAGTTATATAACTTAAATGTTATATAACTGGGTGATGGAGTCAGATTGTCCAGCATTCAAGTCTTAGCTCCTTATTAGCTATGTGATCTTGGGTGAATTACTAACCACTCAACTGCAGGTTTCTTCTCGATAAGATAGGATGATAATTAATTCTCACAGTGGTTCAAATTAAATGAGACAATGCAAATAAAGCTTTTCACATAACCGTAGGCACCAGTAATCATACAGTAAATGTACACTATTGTTTTTTTCCATTATTGTTATTATTTCTTTTATTTTTATGCTTCTTGTTACCTACCCTCACTCCCAAATCTACTTCTGATAGACATGCTCTTTCTAGATTCATTAATAGAATCAGTTACTGCATTTGCTTTCCTTAACCTGGGAGCCATTCTTTCTGGGAGTGCACTGGGGAAGATGTACTTTGTGCTATAATTCTCAGGAGAACAATTATATTTCCAAGATCTTCCTTGCTCCCACAAGTTGCCCCGTAAAGCTTGCAATAATCATGGTTGTTGTTTGTTTGTTTGTTTTGTAATTACTCTCTAAGCAAGAGAAACAAATGAAGGGGAGATGAAGTAACAGCGGGTGAGAATCTTCCTATCCACTGTGGTGGATAAGACCTAAAGTTATCTCTGAATACTCCTGATGCCTCTGTATCTACCGGGGTACATGTGTGAGACATAATCCAATTCAGCAAGCATTTATTGAGCACCATCTAGGTTCAATTCCCTGTTCTAGGCCCTGGGGATATAGAGATGACCCAAGTTCCTGCCCTTGAACTCAAAAGTTTAACTGGTCAGATTGGTTAGAAAACAAAAACAAAAAATTAATGCAATAACTGTTATGGGAAGAAATGGATCAGGAGATAAAGGAGCAAATCATTCCCAGGAGTATCTTGTTTCAGCTGGGAATTAACAAGAAAGGAAAGGCATATAAGGTGAAGAGTCATAATCAAGGGTATGAAAGGGCACAAGAGTGTTAGGGGGACAGCAAGTCATCCCACACCATTTGACCGGGCTTTCAATGTCAACTGCCAAGGCCAACCACTTTCTCCTGACATTTTAAAGAGCTGCCCTTCTACACCATCTTCTACTGAGATCACAGGATTTTTTTATCCTTATTGATGTATGCTTTCTTTGGACCCCTGTAAAAGTCTTTTTGTTTTAACCTCTCAGTTCAAATTACCACTTTCTAAAGTCTAAATGACTCTACCTAGACCTATGTCCTGGGGAGTAGGATATAGGGAAGTAGGTTACTTTTGTTTGTGCTCTTACCTGCATTTTTCAAATGGGCATCGATTATTCTTTAATTATCTCATTTTGCAAAACACCTTTTTGTGGCTGCCCTTTCTACTGATGTTCACAGCTCTGTCTAAAGAGCCAGACACGGTTTTGTGCCAAACTCAAGAAATGAATACTTGCTTAGAGTCATCCAATAACTCATTGGCGAAACCAGAGTGAGTACTCAGACCTTCTGGCCTCACCTTCTCCCTTCCTGTTCTTTCTCTGGCTGCCCAGAGGTCTTCACTGTGGGATACATTTCTACCATCCCCTGGGTGTGACTCTTTAGCTCAGGGGCTGCTTTGGAAGGGGAGGGGAAGGGAGGTCAAGCTGACAGGCTCCACCAACCCTCCCCCACTTCTCCAAAGTTTATGTGATTTGTTCAGGGAAAAAAATGGTTTCTGCTCCTAAAATAAGGTGGACACTACTGCCTTAACCCAAAGGAAGGCCTTTAATGATGGAAGGCAGGTAGCAGAGGTGTTTGGAGTGATGACATTAATCTACAAGTATGTCCAGAAGAACTGAGACCCAGGTCTATGCTTGAGGCTAGGTAATACTGGAGATAGGAGACATCCTTAGTCCTCAAGTACCTTATATTTTTCCTTACATTAGTCTGGGCAGGCCGCATTAAATCTCATGAGCATTACTAGGTAAAAGTCAAGAGTGGAGAGGCAGGTAAAAGGTATGGACTACAGGTATGGGAGGGACATTTGTTCACTGGACATCACAGTAGTTGTGAGATTTCACAGTAAAGCAAGAATGACTCTCAAACTTCTGCCTCTCACCCACAGCCTTCTCTTCTTGCCCCAGATCTACATATCCAGCTTCTTTCTGGATACTTCCTCCTGGGTGGCTCCCAGTCCACCCTTATGACCTTATCATTCTCCTAACCTGCTTCTCTAAGGCTCTCTCTTTTCAATGAAAGATACTACCATCCCTCCATCCATCCCTCCTTCCCTCCCTCCCTCCCATAGGCCAGAAACCTGGGCTTCATTCTTTCATCTCCTACATCCTATCAATCACCAAATCCCGCCTCTTCTGCCTTCAGAACATCTCTTCATGCTAACCTTTCCATCCCCACTGCCTCCACCCTAGCCCAGGTTCCTATCACTTCTCTTGACCAGAACTGTGCTCTCATCACAGTGTCTTCTTGCCTCCACACAGCTGCTTAAGTGACCTTTCCAAAGCAGAGACGCGATCTCAAAACTCCCCTGCTTAAGGATGGCTCCCCAGTGCCCTGGCAGAAAATCCCAAACTCTTCAGCTTCTCCAGAGGGCCTCTGTGACCAAGCCCCTGATCACCTCTTTCCCTTCATTTCTAGCTGCCCCTCTTACCCCTGTGGATTCGATTTGTTTGCCTCTCCTCCACCAGTCTGACAGCTCTCACTCTCTGTATTGTGCCCCAGCCAGCCTTCCCCTCCATTTCTTAACTGGGGTCCCAGTGGGGCAAGTGCGCTCTTAAGAGCTGTGCTTTATGGGGACTGTGGCAAATGTTTTCAGTGTCCAGGCTTTTTCTGCATTGAATGTACTTGAAATGTTTTCAGGTTGTGTTTGAGATAAGACCAAGACATCACTTAGGGAGCTGAATATAGGGAGCTAAGAGCTAGATACAAGTTTTAGAGGTATCATCAAAAGCTAATCCTTATCACCTGCTGTGTATTTGGCCTTGGTTGCTGGAGATAGTCAAAGCAGATGCAACCTAATTAAGTAGAGAATTGCCTGGAACACGTGTTAAAAATACAGATTCCCTAGCCCCACCCCAGACCTCTGAATTGGAATCTCCAGGAAAGTTCTCAGGTGACTCTTTGTACTGGGTAACCTGGAAAGACCTAACCATATTTTCTTTATAAGAAATATCTAGAATAGGAAAATGTGTGGGCAGAAAGTAGATTAGTGGTGGCCTCAGGGTGGTGATGGGGCTGGGGGAGGACAAGGCCTGGGGAAGATCGCTAAGGAGTGCAGTTTCTTTTGGGGTTGATGAAAATGCTCTAAGATTGATTCCAGTGACGATTGCTCAATTCCGTGAACATGCCAAAAGCCATTGCACTGTATGTTTTAAATGGGTGAATTGTATGGCATGCGGACTAAATCTCAGTAAAGCCATTTAAAACCAAGTAAAACAAAAAACTTGGATCGGCCTCTGTAAAGGACTTGGGTGGTGCCCTGTAACCTAGTAGCACAGTCAGCAAATACTTATGGATATATACAGGATAGGGCATAAGAAGGTTTACAGTTGTTTGTATGGAAAATATTATGATGATAAATATAATCCAAGAATATACTGTTTGTGTACTCACAGCCGTAAACCTCCTTTTGCCCCACCCTGTACATCGGGGGATACAAAGTAAATGAGCAGTTGCGGTAGGGTGTGATTAGTGTTATATTAGGGAAGCACAGGCTCCTGTGACAGCGTAGTGGAGGGGCAGCTTCCGGAAGAAGTCTGTGATGTCTAGGGTGAAGCTTGTCAGGTGAACAGGCGTTATTAGCAAGACAAGATGAGGGGCAGGAGGAGTGGACCGTGGTTAAGCAAGTGAGCCCTGCCGGCGCTTGGTGAGGCCTCAGTGCAGTGTGAAAAGTTCGGTGGCAGAAGTGAGGGTGGGGAGGGGAACAGGCTCAGAGGGCTATGTGAGCCAGGCTGAGGGGGGTGGAGCCTGCCCCCCCCCCCGTGCCCCCACCCCCAGCGGTGGGTTGGTGTTTTAGACACCACTCGGACTGCCCCGTGGGGAACAGATGGAAGCGGGACAGGGGGCGGGAAGCCTACAAGGAGGCAGCTCTGGTGTCTCCGTGAGAGGTCAGCGTGTCTGGGTCTGAGTGGTGTCCGTGGGGAAAGAGAAGTGGGTAGAATTTAGAAATATTTAGGGCACTTGTTTTCTTTATCTTTTTTAAAAATTAATCCTCAGTTGAGGATATGGTTATTGGTTTTAGAGAGGAATGGAGAAGGGTAGAGGGAGAGAGTGGGGGAGACACACACAGAGAGAGAGAATGAATGAATAAATGAATTTGAGGCATTTAATTGAGAGGATTCTGATGGCTGGGATGAGAGGACAGAAGAAGTAGTCAAGGACGAGGCTCACTTGTGTGTGGCTTGGGTATGTGGGTAGTTGGTAACAATCCCAAGAGCCCCAGAGGAGAAACAGATTTGGCCATGTTGACTGTGATTCGGGGCATGCCGTTCAAAAGGAGGTGTCTAGTCGTTCAGCAGTTGGCTGTGGGGTCTGGAGGAGAGGAGAGAGCCATGGGAAGTGACCGGCACGCAGCCCCGGCACACACAGGGAAGACGGGCCTGTGTGAGGTGGTTCGGGAGTGTGCACCAAGAGCAAGGAGAGCAGGGCCTAGAACGGAATCCTGTGGAGCGCTATTTATTTGTACGGTGATGGAGGAGAAGGAGGTGAAGGAGGAGATGGAGGAGGAGGTTTTAAAGAGATTCAGAGGAAATAACTAGAAACGTAGGTGTTAGCTACAGCAGTTCATCCGCTTATTCAGCTGCCATAAGTCAGCATTTATTGAGAGTCTGTATGTCCTGGGTGTACTCAGAGACAAGTGAGACCTGACTGTTGACATCAAACTTAAACCACGGCCATCACCCCATGACAACCTTCTGAAGCAAGAGGCCACTGACAGTCTTACTTCCTTAACGGTAGATTGTACTTCCTTAGCGGTTCCCTAGGCCCTGGAGTCCTTCCCAAGGTTATCTCCCTGTATTACCCAGGCCCAAAAGACCCAGGTCCAGCGGTCAGGCCTTCTGTCCGTGGGGGATGTATGACCTGAACGGGACACCCCGGAGCTGGCAGGGGTGGGGGCGGAGGGTGTGTGGAAGGAAAGGAGGGAGTGCATCATTTGCCTAGGGTTCAGCAAATCGTCCCCCACACCAGGCATAGAAACACACAAGGCAGGCACCCCCGCTCTGTGGGTGAGACTCAGAAGCAGTCCTCTTCCCATGTGCCAGCCCATCTGCCTTTTTGCCTTCACAAACATGTGTTTTCTCCTCTTTTGTTCTCTGCAGCTCTGAATACACGAGGAAGAAGAGTGGGAGACAGGAGGAGAAGGTTGGAAGAGGGAGGGAGGGAAGTGCGGGGACAGCATCCGGTGACCACCAACGCAATAAATCAGACCCTGGACCACCTCGGCCTGGCCCCTTCTTTGCAGTGCGCGTCGATCGGTTTCCTCGCAGGAAGAGCCCCAGGGATACTGGCCAAGGCGTGGCTGTGGCCTTGATGGCCTTGACAATGGAGTACTTCTCAGTGTGTCAGAGGCCTTGGAGGCTCACTCCCTTCTGTCCCCCTCTCCCCCCAGGGGCTTGCGCAGGCTACACAGGACAGGTGGTGGGCACAGGCTTTCCCTGCCCTGCAGCCTTGGACTCTGGGTGGCATCGTCAGCCTGCGATCAGCGGGGGCAGCAGGCTCCTGACTGTCTGGAGCGTGGGGAAGCAGGAACGAACGCCTCCCTGAACCTGTATGACTGAAGGGTAGGAGGTGGGGGAGTGCTGGGAACAGCTTTGCCCTAAGGGGAGACCTGTGGGGGGCACCCGTGAGGCTGTGTGTGTTGGAGGGTGGAGGCTGCACAGGCGGGTGGACAAGGGCTCTCTCTGCCCTCTACCATCTCACAGACGCGGGCACGGGCCTGGACGTAGGAGGCCATCCAGCCTGACTTCAGGTCACTGAGGGAGGGGGTTGAGGGGCCACTGAGTGGTTGATTCACCCTCTCTAAGCTGGGTAGGCTTGATGGGGCAAAGCACTAAGGCTTTTTGTCTTGGCTTTGACAGTGTTTACCTGTACCTGACTGTGCTCAGAGTGCCCGCCCTGACCCTCACACTCACCCTTGGCTAGGGCTGAATACTAGGCTGTGACCTTAGGATCCTCCTTGTAGGGGGCAGAAAGGGGCCCTATCCGTTTCCAACATTGGCAGTGATGTAGGGCCACTCAGATTTTCAGTGACGGCCCCAGCTGACCCCCGACTGGGATGGTTTTTCCATCCTACATGTCTTGCCTAGGCTGCCCTCTCCTGTGGGTTGAGCAGTGTGAGCTCGTGCGGGCCCCACCACCGGCCTGCACTGTCCCAGGACCTGGTCAGCCAGCGTGTACTTCCTCTTTCCCCGTCACACAGGCTGCGCTCTGGATGCAAGCGGACAGCCCTGCCCTATCAGTGGACCTCTTGTGGGGCCCCAGGGTCTTCTGGGGTTGGCTTTGGACTGCAACCCTCCCACAGGGGACCATAAGGCAGGCCCCAGCTGTGGCCAGCTTTGGGTGCTGTCTTGGTCTCTATCACTTGTTTGCCTTCTTCACCCTCTGCCACCTACCACCCAAAGAACTGAACTGCACACCACCGTCTAACCCTTCAGTTAGAGAGGGAGCACAGAGCGGGCCGATGTGCTGAGGGCCCTCTGCCTGCCCACAGCCCCACCCGTCTGGAATGAGCCACCTGCATCCACACACAGGTGTTTCCTGTGTGCCTTCCTGTTGCCGTTTTTTTTTATTTTTTTACTTTTTTTCTGCTCAGCTTGGCTTCCCCAGCAGGTGGTTAAGGGCCAGCCAAACCTCTTTATACACAGCTCTAAAACACTGCGGGGGGTGGGGGGGGCAGCACAGGGCTCCCCGGGGATCTGGGTCACCCCCCCACACACACACACACCCAGGAGGGATTGTTGGCACCTCATTGGCTCTGCCTGAGTGCAGGTGCACACTTTCTCCCAGTGTGTCACACTGCTGTGCTACCACCACAGGCACTGGGACACTGGAGGGGACTCGGGGAGTGGGGAAGGCCCTGCCTGTGCACTGTCTCCCTTGCACCTGGATACTCAGCTCCGGAGTGAGAGGGGAAGGGTGGAGGGCCAGTTTCTCCTGCCTCTGGGTGGGCCTCCCTTAGGCCCTCCATAGAACAGGCCTGCCATCCTGAAATCCCGCCCCACCTTCCAGTTCCTCCCATGCAACTCAGCTTTCTGTAGCTAACACGCTTAATGTTCCAGGCAGCTCTGGGGGGAGACGAACCTTCTCCCTGGAGCCCTGCTTCCTAAAGCAAAACAGGTCAACCGGCTGTGGGGGCCACAGGGTTCAGTCAGGTTGTTATTACAGAGAGGAGGCGGCTCTGGGAGTGGAGGGACTTGCTGTGCAGGGTCAGAGGGAAGCCACCTGGGGCTCCTGCCTCCCAGGCCCTAGCTCTTCCTTTCCCTGAGGATCTCCTCTCTCCTAGTACCCAGGCCTCAAGGAGCTTCTTGTGCTCAGCTGCCAGTGCTAAAGGGAAGACCTAGAAGCCTGGCATTCTCTGAAGGGGTTCTGCTGCCCCCTGGTGGCAAGAAGCTCCAGCCTTCACCACGCCTTTTTTCCTCCCTGCTTCTTCCTCTTTAACTCTTGGCGGCAGGGTGCTAGCTGTTAGGGACCCATTCCCGGGACTCGCCCCCTTTAGGCCTTCTCCAGACCAACTCCACACGTTGGCTCCAGCCTGAGCCCCCAGCCTCCAGGCCCAGGGCACGCCCAGCCAGCAGGCTGAGCCTCCTCAGCAACATGCCACCACCCTTTTCCTCTGCCCTCTCCGAGCCTCTGGGCTCTCTCCCACCCAGATTTCCAGGGCAAAAGCACATGCCATCGTCACAGTTGGGAGTGTGGGCACACTGGTGTCAGGAAGGGCCACAGCCAAAGGGTGCTGGAGCCCCAGGGTCAGGAGTGCACTAGGCCAGCCCATGTAGGAAAGGCATTTTGGTTTTTTTATTTTCTGTAAAACTCTGTAAATAAAATACAAAACCAAGGGATGCGGTGGGGCAGAGGCGGGATGGCCAGGCCCGGAGCATTGATTCGTGGCAAGAGTGCTGAGCTGAGGCTGGGAGGCACTTGACTGCAGGCACTGACTCTACCCACCCCAAGGGCAACAGAAGAATATATTAGGATTTTCACTGATAGGAATCTGTGGGGGAGGGGTGTCTGGAGCCAGCCCTCACCCTCCCTGCCAGTGCCTGGTGAGCCCTGAAAGTGGGGGAAGGGGGCACTGGGAGCCGGTGGGTGGGGAGTTTAGAATGCCGTGCTGGCCATGCTGCCAGGCCCGAAGATCCGGGGCAGGGCGTCCAGTGACTCCTCTAGCCGGCGATGGGCAGACTGTCCCTCTTCCCCTGTAACGGTTAAGGATGGGGTCGGGAGTAGTGTTAGCCCCCACCCTGGTCCATCCGCCCTTGACCCCATCTAACTCCCATCAGCCAAAATGTCCCAGGACTGTACTTCCCATCCCCCAGCCTCACCACACTGTTGCAGGCTCTGCCGAGCAGCTTCCCTCACGACTTCTGTGTCCGTTTGGCACAGGTACACCAGGGGCTCGATGCCCTCGGAAGCCTACCAGAGGAGCAGCATTGAGGTGGGCCCACTGGAGCAGGTGGTGAAAGCCCAGGGCCCAGGGCTGGGGGGCGGGAGGGTGGGAGGGATCACCTTGATGCAGCCTAGGGCCAGGCAGCCAGCCACTCTCATCTGCACGTCCTCATCCTCGAGTTGGTCCAGGAAGCAGAGTAGGGCCTGGGTAAGGGTGTGATGGCTGACTTAGTCAGACACTGGGACCCTGGGACCCGAGCCTTTGCCTTCAGGGGAGTCCTGCCCAACTCTCACCCTTTCCCGGAAGTCAGGGCCCAGCGACAGGCTCCGGAGCTGGGTGCTGACAGCGGCCATGACCTTGTTGTTGCCATGGACAAGCAGGGAGCTGAGGGCCCGAAGCCCGTCCCTTCGCAGCCGCCCCTCAGGCGCCAACCTTAGAGCCTTGAGCACAATAGCCTGGTCGTCTGAGTTCAGGCTCTGCACCAGTAGCACTGAAAGAAAGAGGGGGCTTGGAACAGTGTGGCAGGACAAGGAGCTCCTTCTGCACGCTCACGTCATCAGCCATACCATACGGCCCACCCTTGGGGTCAGGCCACTTAGTGATGGGGAGGGGCACTGCCTTACCCTCCTCAGCGGTCTCAGTCACATAGGCCTCCATAGATGGGCTGTGCAAGGTTTCCACGTAACTCCAGAACTGGAAGACAGTGAGCTGCTCCCCAGGGCCCGGCTGGGGCCTTCTGGGCAGCTTCTGCCCCAGCACTTCCTCCAGGAACTTGACACACACTGTGGGAAGCGGTGCCACCGGCCTCAGGGTTTGGATGGACCCAGGCCCTCAGAGGGAAGAGTGTTCCCACCCCAGGCTCAGGTCCAGGGGTCCCTGTCCACACCCTACCCCACTGGATCCTCTTGCACCAAGGCACAAGCCTTTGCTATTTCTTCCCAGTGCTCAGCTCAGCATGTCTGTGTGGGCTAACCTGGCTTTCCCTACAGTCCCATCACTGGGGATCTGAGAAGGGAGGGCAGAGGGGGCAAGCAGGCAGCCCACTCACCAGCCTCAGCTAAGCCTGGCTGTCGCAGGGAGAGACGGGCACCATACTGATTGCAGAAGGTGAGCAGCACCTGCTTAACAGGGCAGATGAAGGGGCTAAGTCCCTCTGTGCACTGGTCCCAGAAGGTCAGAAAGCCAGGCCGAGAGGCCGAGAACTGCACCACTGTGAAGAGATGCAGGAAACCATCAGCAACAGAGCAGGCAGGTGGGCAGATAAGGACAGGTGAGGTAGAGCAAGGAAGGAGCTTCAGGGCAGACACCAAGCCAGAGCCCACAGGACCTTTACCTTCCTGGGCAGAGGTAACAGGGACTTCCCATCGCCTGCTAAGCTCGCATACTGCCTCGAGCACTCGTGCCTCCCGTAGCAGCCGCTCCAGGGCCCATGCCTCCTGGCAGCGCAGGGGCCCAAATGTGCCCAGTTTCTGGAGAATAGGCATGGCCAAGTAGCTCAGACCTCAAGGTACAGCTTGAGGGTGGAGCCCAGGGACTACAAGTCCCAGCATGCATTAGGAGAGATTGGAGGGAACCAGAGTGGGGGAGTAAGAGACAGATGCCAGGGACCTGGGCTTTGGGGCATGGAACTCACAGGTGTGGAGGGCTCCCTGGGGTAAAAGGCTATAAAGGGAGGGTGGTGGGAATGCCCCTAGCCTCACCAGCAGGAGGCGGCTGCAGTAGTACAGGTGCTGGACCAAGGCAGTGTCCAGAGCTGGACACTCTGTGCTGAGTGGGCGGGCACTGGGTGAGTTGAGGCTCTCCTCAGCCCCGGGCTCCAGGCTGCTTGGGAGCC